GGGAGAAACTGAAGGAGAGAAAGGAGAAAAAGCTGGGGCGGGGGGGGGGGGGGGCCGGTGGGATGGGGATGGGGTGGGGTTATGGTGGGGGTGTGCCTCTGGCAGCCATGCGGAAGAATGAAAGAAACACCCTAAGACACCCGCCCCACTGAATACAGCAAGCCACTTCTTGGAGTGCTAGTTGTTCTGCAAAGGTGTGTTTCATGACAAAGCACAGATACTATAGTGCCCGCAGCCCACATGAGGAGCAAGGTACACAGAAAGAATCTGGGATGTGCTGGGCTTTGAGAACAACCCTGCCACCTTTAAGCAAGCAAACACAGATAAAACAATACAACAACAACAAAAAAACCCTGCCCATTTCTATTGGTGCACTGGACTAAATATTATATACATTTGTTTGTTTGTTTGTTTGTTGGGATAAGGTCTCTTGATGTAGCCTTGGCTGTACTGGAACTCAATATATGGACCAGGATGGCCTTGAACTTACAAAGATGTACCTGCTTCTGCCTCTCAATTCCTGGGATTAAAGCCGTGCACCACCGCTCCCAAATTTTGGTTTTCTATGATGACAGTAGACTGGATATGCTATCTAAAAACTGATTTAAAAAACCCCTCAGAACTCATTTTAAAATAAAAGTAATAATAACTAGAGGAATAAAAGATTAGGTAAGTGCTGGCGCAGCACAAGTGGCCCCATTTGGCTAATTAAAATCTGTGCACTGCAGTGGCAATCAGGTTTGGAGTTGAGCTGCTCCTCCTGCCAGATCCAGCAGATTGCAGACAAAATCAGCTGCCCTGAGAGCCACAGGCTTAAGGGGTACAGGAAGGAGGGCAAAGTCAAAGATAAGTCAGTGGCAGGTCGCTTTCAACAGGAATCGCCTCACCACAGAGCGTGGCACAACCAAGCTAATCTGAAACAGGGACAATGGAACAGTATACCAGAGTGTTCTAAGGTGCTAACAGGTGCAGTTTTAACTCCACAGTGTAAGGTGACAGGACAGACCACCTTCTCATCATCTAGCCCTTCCTGATGTTGGAGAGCTGGTGTAGGTAGCCTAATGTCCACCTCTACTGTGAGCAGGGATATGCTCACCCAGAAGCCACATTCTGGGAGTAATTCTCTGGGCAACTCCATGGGAGTTCCCAACCCTAGAGCTGACTTAAAATCAGCCACATCACCATCCTGACTTTTCATTAGTAATATTCTGAGAGCTCACACTACAAAAAATAACTAGTATATGTAGGGGGGAGGGGGAATGTCTGTGTACCAAAGTCGAGTGGTTACTGAATACAATTCCACCAACCCAGAAGTGGTAATTCTATAGTTTCCTTGTATAGTTTCCCACTATGCCCAAGGCAGGTGTGCCACACAGCTATCAAACATGAACTCTGTTCTTTATTTGTTTTTCAAGTGTCAATATAATTAGGATCATTCCAATCCATCTGTCCTCAGCAAGAGGGCTTATTAATATGGAGAAAGTGGCCATCTGTTTTGTCATTTATATATGAATACGTTATATGAATATTAATGTTCTTACCATAAACCATGGCATCATGAGCGTGCTGGGGTGTTTATTCAAGATATGGAGTCTATGGGGAGGGCAGTATTTAGGGTATTTAGGATTACTTCTCTAGTGACTGAGGTCAGACACTGCTGGCCAAACTTCATGGGCTGCCTTGTTTCCCAGAGGGCCCCATGTGACTTGCCCAAACCAACAGGTTCCTTCGGTTGTGACTGGGGCATAGAGCTGAATGCTATCAAGTGTTTACTGTGCACTTTGTCCTCTGGCCAATGTCATGATAGCAGGGAGACATGGCGGTAGCTAGTTCCTTTTCCAGTGGCATTCTGGATCTGGGCATCTGCTCAGACAAGACAAGGTACAGAGCAGATGGTATCAGAGTGACCATACAACCACACAAAATGATAGTACGAGGTCTCCCTCATTCGTGGAGATCTTGTGGGGAGACACAGAGGGCCTCTAGAGTTCTAGCCGCGCTTACTGGCAGGTGTGGTTCGAGGGCGCATACTGCACTTGCCTTTATAGTCGTGCCTGGACCCACGTCATGCAGCAGGGACATCTCTGGGGGGCTCCGGGGCAGCCCGTCATCCTCCGAGCTCATACCAGTCTCCTCTGCCCTCTTGGTAGAAATGCCTCCTGGAGGCGGTGGTCCCATTTTCACATTACATTGTATCTTCATCTGGATTGAAGGAACAGCAGTCATTCTTAGTATTTTCATCAATAACACCGAGCAACAAGTCTTCCTGCTCTCCAGAATGAACAATTCATTCATTCATTCATTCATTCATTCATTCATTCATTCAGGAAATGACCTCGGCGCTCCTGCATGGTGCAGAGCACCAACCTAAAGAGTGCCTGTCCCCAGCCTTCACTGCTGTCCTCCTTATTCATCAGGCAGTCACCAACAGGCCATCCAAACATGACCAGATTGCCTGCCCAAGGAGAACTGTGAAGACCCCGTGACTCTGCTTTCAATCGCATTGAATTGCTAAATTAAAATTACTTAGAATCTTCTGGGTTATCACTGGACAGACACCCAAGTGGCAGTGTCAAGCAAACACTTACCTGCAGAGCCTTGATCCGGTCACACACATTTTCTTGGGAAAACACCCGCACAGGCCTAGCAGGGTCCTGTCCGGACTCAGGAAAGAAAATACTATCGTGTGAGAGGGCACGGTTGCCCAAGGTGCTCCTGGACTCCCTAGGATAAAAAGAGTCACTGTGAGCTTTTGTCCACCTCCATCTGTCCCTGATCCTAGGGACTCATGGTTAGCAACTGTTCATTCGTCCCTGTCACTGTCAAACACTAGTCAGAACATTCTACTGAGGGCATTTTCCTCAAATATTTGAAGGTTGTAGGAAATTTGTTTTGATTAGTGGAAAAAACAAGGTTTGACAAGGTGTGAGGTCCAAGACAGCAAGCCTTAAAGAGGGAAGGTTGGTGCTGGCTGGGTTCTGTGGGAATCTGTATCAGATGTCCTGGGAGGGTGAGGTCATGGACTGTGGGCTAAGCTGATGTGTTAGCCCACCATATGCTGGAGGCTGTTGGCACAGCAGCATCTTCCCATGATGGTGCAGATCACACATCTATGGCCAATTTGAAACAAGAACTGAAAGTCTGCAGAGATGGGCCCTGTTTTATGATTGGGCACGGTTTGTATATCCTACCACTGTGCTTGTGCCCGGATCATGGAAGCCCGGCTTCAAGCCCAAGGACCTGATTTGGAACTGAAATCACAGTACACTCATAAAATGCTCTCAGAGGATGTGGGAATTAGCTGTCAGACTTTCCTTGCCTCCTAAATAATAGGTGGAAGGAGATGACTGAGACCATTGGTTAAGGAAGGAAAGCCGCCTTTGCATGCACGGGACATCTTGTGCATACCAGCCCCACCCTGTCCTTCTTGGGCATCCTGTCCTCTATGGGGCACTGGGGACTATGAGGTGTGGCCTGTTTCACTGCATATCCAACTGCTGTTAGTAGTACTGTGTGTGCGCGCTCATACACACACACACAAACACACACACACACCAGGAAAGTGCTCTTCCACTGAGCACCCCAGCTCAAAGGTGTTTCCTCTCCATGCTGCAATAGTAAGCTTACTATTAGAAATCCAGAGTGCCTAGACGGTGTAGCTTAGGTGTAGCCCAGAAAGCACACACTAACAGCAACTCTCAATTCAAAGGCCATATACACACCTAGATTTACTCCCTATAGTCAACAGCCTGGGGCCATACCCTAGAAACCACAACTACTGGACAAACACCTCCAGTCCAGATGTAACTAGGAGTAGAGGCAGCAGGAAGAGGCCTCTGATACAGAGGAAAAACCACAAGTGGCCACAGGCACATGGCCGTTCATTATTGCAAAAGCTATACAAAAGGAAACAACACATGTGTCCTTCAGCAGTTGTCAAATCAAATGAGCTACTGTGTGTCTGATGGAGGGCTAGGCAGGTGACTGAGAGGGTGAGGACGCTGAACTACCAGAGGACACTAAGTGAAAACAGAGCACATGGGATAGAGATTGGCACATCAGCTGTGTTTGAGTGGAGGGTGGGTATACACACAAATATGTGTTGGGTATGTGCACATGCCTGCTAATTAAAAAAAAAAAAAAAACTGGTCCATGGAAGATACATGAGAGTGGTTTCCTTAAGTGAGAAGGAAAGAACTAGAGAGGGGAAACAGAGTCAAAGGTACAGAGGTAACAACGTTTTCAGTTTTGTCTTTGAAACTATTTAATGTGTTACACAACAAGACACAAAATCAACCAAAAAGGCAAGTCTCTAAGACTAGAAAAACAAAACCAAAAGAAGCCTAATTTTTATGGCAGACACGATGGCACATGCTTGTAATTCCAGCACTGGGGAGGCAGAAAGAGAAGTTACTCCTCTATAGGAAGTAAACAGTCAGTTTGTTAAAGTCCAAGTTTTTCAGTAGAACACAAAATAATACAAAGAAAAAATAAAAAGTTTCATCTTTCCTGGAATTGGAAGTGTTAGTGAGTGAATCGCTCAGACTTCTCTTAAAAATAAACCCATTTCCTACTTCAACCCATGAGAGGTCTAGAGGAGATGGCAGCCAGCTAGCAACCATGACCACAGTATGATTTGAGACAACTTTACATTTAAAGGAAGGAAATAGGGCTTGTGAAAAGGATCCAAGCCAGGAAATACCTAGCATTAACCTGGAATCACTCACTGCATAGGAACGCAAGGGACATTTCAGAGATGGCTGGGCTCATGACCAAAGAGCTAATTGGGAGTGGCCCTTGATAGCCCAGAGTAAGACAATGAAAAAGACTGCTGTGGTTCAAAGCAAATCAGATATATTCGAAATCAGTGTGTTTGGACTTGATACGTGGCTCAGCTGGCAGAGAACTAGGCCGTGGGTTCAATCTGCAGCACCAGATGAAAATGGTGGTGCTGGCATACACCTGCTGTAATCCCAACATTCTGAAGATGGAGGGAAGATAAAAAGTTCAGGGTTGTCCAGTCTGGGTTATGTGAAATTCTGTCTAAATAAAGCAAATACATATTCTTAAAACCCACTGTGTTCACAATGATCCTTCAGTGGGGGAAAACCTAATTTTTTGGTCACTACTAAAAGGTGTGAAGGTATCAGGTACTACTCTTTGATTGGAGCAACCTCATTCTGTTCTTCCTGAATAGATTGTATGTCAGGCTATCATGCAGGTGGCGAAGGAAAGCTAATTTTTATTTTAGGTTTATTTAATTTATACACATATGAGGGTTTGCCTACACGTATGTACAACATACTCATGCCTGGTGCCTGTGGAGGTCAGAAAAGGGCATCAGGTCTCTGGAACTGAAGTTACAGATGGTTGTGAGCCACCATGTAGGGGCTGGGCACCAAACCCAGGACCTCTGCAAGAGTAGCAAGTACTCAACCACCGAGCCATCTCTCCAGCCCCTGATACAGGATAGTTCTTCATAGAAGGAACTCAGCTAGCAAAATGTAAAATGAATGAAGGAACAGAAACACCACAGTTTTGCACTGAGGACATGGGCCACCCACATGTTGACAGCATCAGGTAAAGGTTGGAGCAGTATTGACACTGCCCACCCAGGATCCAGTGCTCAATTGCAGCATCAACAATTGAGAGACCCAGAAACTACGAGCCTCCTGAAGCATCAGGGGCAGCCCAAGCTCAGCGTGTCTCTAGAGCACTGGTTCCCAACCTTCCTAATGCTGCGACCCTTTAATACAGTTCCTCATGTTGCAGGGACCGCCCCAACCAGAAAACTATTTTCATTGCTGCGTGTTATCTGTAATTTTGCTACTGTTGTGAGTCGTACTGTAGACATCTGATATGTAGGATATCTGATATGTAGATTGAGAACAGCTGCTCTAGTTCAACATGAACTTCTACAGAACTGGGAGAACTCAAGTGTACCGGGCTCAGATGCAGAGAACAGTGTGTTCTGTAGGCAAAAGGACCCAGAGGGGGCTGTCACAGATGAAGCCAGAACCAAGACAGCCCCAGCACAGGAACTGGGCTGCCTGTGTCCTTGTGGAAGTTGCTGCAGAAGCTGGTGGCGATTCTCATAGAGACTGACCTTGAAAAATGTCATTGTTCATTCCAGGACTTCATTGTCTCATTGTACCCCATCTCTAATCACTTTTAAATTCTCTCTCTCTCTCTCTCTCTCTCTCTCTCTCTCTCTCTCTGTGTGTGTGTGTGTGTGTGTGTCTCTCTCTCTCTCTGTGTGTGTGTGTGCGTGTGTGCTCTTGTGTGTATGTGAGTACAGGTGCCTGTAAGTACAGGTAGGTGCCTATGGAGGCCGGAGGGGTTGAATCCTGGAGATTGAATCCACCTGCCTAGGTGCCCAGAACCCAACTCAGGTCCTCTACACAGTGTGCAATCTTAACTGCTGAGCTATCTTTCCACTAGCGTCCCACCATCTTTCCTTTCTCATTAAGGAATGTCAATCATGCTTGTACCAGGTGCTAGTCATAGACATATATCAAGGGTCCTGTCCCCACTTTCCCTGAGTTCCTATGAGAAGGAGCATTTCCCCCAGAGCCTGGCTCTCTGGCTATGCTCCTGTTTGTGGCCGGATGGATCGCTCCCAGACTTGTTTCTGAACACCAGGAGGTGGGGTGGTCATTAGAGGTCTCCTGGGGCTAGCCAGGGCTGCTTCTCCTGCATCCCACAATTGTGCATAGTCTTACAAGATACCCACATGTCTATTCTGCTTTTAACAAAATCAGGGAAGGGGGTGGGGGTGGGGTGGGAGGGAAATCAAACTATGATTTTCCATCTTCAGTCATCTAGTGCCACCAAGTGGCCAGTGTAATTTCTCCACCTCTAGAGACGGGCTGCCCTGTCCCTGTCTCTGGAACACTACCATTCTTTCTGGCATTTTATCCTGAAATGAGAGTCAATGTTTAAGAGACATTACAAGCTGCCTCCTCTTTTCTTCAGTCCAAAATATGATGGTGGGAGTAATGGGACAGACAACATGACTGCACTGTGATGAAACACAAATTAGAAAAGCAAAGTTTTGTCCACGAGAGCTGCCGGAGTGTCCATCCCAGGATGTCTGAACTAAGCCCAGACAACAAGAAGCTGTTTCTTCTGCATCGGCTGGCCTTGTTCTATTCGATCAGAGTCCTTATTGGATCAGTCAGCGTTTAAGTTCCGAGAGATGAGTGCTTCCCACATTGTGCTCCAGGTCCTTAAGCATTCTTGATTAAATTAAACCAGAGCCCTCCTCCCAACCCTGCCCCTTCTGCTGTGTGATACAGGGCAGGTGGGTTTATGGCTTATTTTGCTCATTTCTGTGATGGTTCATAGCCTCATCTCAACGCATGTTGGGGGTAGCTTGGTACACACATGCCACAGTGCTGAGGTGCACTGAGGACAACCTCAGGTGTCAGTCCTTGCCTTCCAACTTGTTTGAGACAGGGCTGGTTGTTGGTCACCACTGCCCCATGAAGATTCCTCTGTTTCTGTCTCCCATCTTGCTATGGGAGCTCTGGAATTACAGACCTACATGGAACCATCTCCTCACAGTGAATATATGGGTTTTTTTTTTAAGATTTTTTTTTTTTTTTTTTTTTTGGTTTTTCGAGACAGGGTTTCTCTGTGTAGCTTTGGAGCCTATCCTGGCACTCGCTCTAGAGACCAGGCTGGCCTCGAACTCACAGAGATCCACCTGCCTCTGCCTCCCAAGTGCTGGGATTAAAGGCGTGCGCCACCAACGCCCGGCCTTTTTTTTTTTTTTTTTAAAGATTTTTAAAATTTTATTTTATGCACATGAGTGATTTGTCTGCATACATATGGTGTGGCACACACGCGTGCCCAGCACCCTTAGAGGCATCGGATACCTCAGAACTGGAGTTACGGATGGTTGTGAGCCATAATGTGGGTGCTGAGAACCAAACCCCAGTCCTCTGCAAGAGCAACACGTGCTCTTAACCACAGAACCATCTCTCCAGCCACAATCACTGTGAACTTTTAAATACTCATGGCACCTGTCGGGCAGCAACTACACAATCACATTTCCCCCACCCTCCTCCATTCTTGTGTTTGGAAAGTTAATAAACAGGCACTATCTACTGAGGCGCTCCTAAGGGGATCACCCAGGATGGGAGGAGGTTCAGGGATCCGACAGGTTACCAGGTACTGAAGTTAAGAGTGCCGGACATCTCCTGTGCCCAACGTCCCCTCCTCCTTGAGGCTCACAAGCCAGCTATATGTGACAGCAACTTACTCCAGCTCATCTTCGGAGTCATAGCCCACTGGCCCCGACTCGATGGCAATGACCTCGCTCTTGGCCTGACTCTGCTTCCAGGTGCTGTTTCCCGTGGATGAGGGCGATTCCTTTCTCTTCTTCTTCCCAAACAGCTTCTTAAATGTTTTAAATTTGGATTTCTTCTTTCCTATACAGATGAAAAGACACACACACAGATTAGCAGGTTTGCGACGGACACAGGTGACAAGAAAAGCAAGGACTCAAATGCTACAGAGAGAAGCACATGATCTATAAGGTCTGCCCCCGAAACAAGTATTGGCTTTTATCTTTTTAAAAAATTACAATTTCATGCATATAAATGTTTTGCCTGAGTGTATGTCTGTGTACTACATGCATGCACTGGCCAAAGAGATGCCAAGAGAGCTTTGGATCACTCCAGACTGGAGTTACAGATGGTTGTGAGCTGCCGTGTGGGTGCTAGGATTCAAATGTGGGTCCTTTGGAAGGGCAGCCAGTGCTCTAAACCTCTGAGCCATCTCTCCAGCCTCCTTGTTGATATCTTTAGGACGTCAGTAAAGGAGCCAAGAACATTGGAGCACGATCAAAACCCAAGCAAGTTTCCTCTCACATGACACCATGTTCTTTAAGTCCATGGGATATACATATTATTTCATATATGATGTACACATAGCACGCCAGATGAGGCCAAGGCTGTATGAGAACCCAAGTTATTTTCTTTAAAAAATACATTATTTTTAAGTTTTTAAAATTGTGTGTTGGGATGGGTGAGAAAAACGAAAAAGCTGTGGCCATCCCTACAGTGGAGAGGTTGTGTCCAGGCTGAGCTTCTTGGATGTCACCTTCATTCTTACCCATGGGGTCTATCAGATCCAGGAGCCCATGACTTCACCAGGGCAAGTCCCCTTGGAAGGTCACATGACTTTGCTGTCAGCAAGACTGGAGCAAATGTCTCTCCACAGGGGACAACGTTCTACAGCAGTTGTTTTTTGTTTGTTTGTTTGTTTGTTTGTTTTTTGTTTTTTAAATATCCAGTGGAAACTTGCTTTCACACCATGACATGTTTATCTTGTGTGCAGATGGTTCTCCATCCAGAGTTTACACTGAAAGACTCTCAGGAGGTCTTTGCATTTGATGGGGACACCACCTGGACTTCCAATAGTCAACAAATTATTAGGTGTCCCCAGAGACCTGAACAAATAGATCACATCCCTGTCTTGAGACCCAGGTGTGCTTAGGGCATGAACAGTGGGGGGGGGGTAGGAGGTGGCCACAGAGAGCAGAGTGCAACAGCTGTGCCCTTTTCATGCCAACTGAAACTCCAGCTTCGGGTGAACTGGCACCCTCTTCTGGCGTCTACAGGCACTGCATGTGTGTAGACACCTAAATCAGTTTAATCACAAGTACTTAAATAGTTAATTGGCCATCTTGAATGTTTTGATTTCGTCCTCTCCTAGGCATTGAGATCCAGCTTCTTAAACAGTATAGGATTGATCCACTTTCCTGCTTCTTCAATCTGTTCTGTTGTTTCACTATCTAGGGACTTACCTACATTTCAAAATTTCAAATGTACTGGCAAAAGTTACTACTAAGACACTTTTATGGGTTTGGCATCCACAGGATCTGTAGCAGCGCCTCCTTTACCATGTATTAGTTATTTGTACCCTGTCCTTCTTCCTTGGTCAAATATACTGATGACGTGTGAAAAGAGTTAGGCTCTTCCAGGGCTCCAGCATGCTAGGTGAGAGCCTTACCACTGAGCAATACCCCAGGTCCAGTCTTGCTATTTTACCTTGTAAAGGTTCTTTAGATGAAAGCCTAAATTTTTAAAACAGTCCCTGCTTTGCTAATAAGAAAATTTCAGGAAATAGTTCTCTTTAGATCTGTTAAGATCTACACATTATGAAAGTGTTTCATTATTATTTGGTTAGAAGTATTTTCTGATTTCCATGACCATACCTTTTTAGATCTGTGAGTTATACAGAAAGGCATGTCTTCAAATTCCCAAGTATATGACAACCTTCTATCTCTTTGTTGTTAATTTCACTGTGGTGAGATAATGTACTCTGAATTTTGTTCTACTCAAATCTGTTGTGATTTACTTTATGGTTTACCATATTGACAGTTCCAATAAACTTCCCATAATGTGCAAAAAGCAATGTATTTTCTTGTTTGTTTTAAAGATGACAATTTGGACACTGCCATTTTCTTTTTGTGTTTTTATTTCATATCTCTATTATTTTTTTAAAAGATTTATTTATTTATTTATTTATTATGTATACAGTGTTCTGCCTGCATGTATGCCTGCCCGCCAGAAGAAGGCACCAGATCTCATTACAGATGGTTGTTAGCCACCATGTGGTTGCTGGGAATTGAACTCAGGACCTCTGGAAGAGCAGCCAGTGCTTTTAATCTCCAAGCCATTTCTCCAGCCCTCCATATCTCTACTAACTTTTAAAATAAATTCATCCTAACAATTTCAGAGGGAGTGAAATGGTCTTATTACCTTTCTTTGGTTGTCAATTTCTATTTCACAGCTTTTAAGGGCCTATCAGTGGCAAACTCAGGTTTCTGACAATACCTTTGTTTCTCCCTCAGTCCTGACATATATCCTTCCCAGGTTTGGCCTCCAAGATTGGTAGTTATTTTTTCTATTGAGTCATGGTTTCGTGGGTTTTACTGTATTGTTAGGAATTCAGCCACCACTTTTCCTTTTGCTCCTGTGAAGGCAGCCCTTCCTTCCTTGGACTTAAGATTTTTAATTTGAACTTTGGCTTTCTAAATCTTTCCCTTTGTATTTTTACTTAGGTGTGAATGCATGCTGCAGGCTATCACTTAGGTGTGAATGCATACATGCTGCAGGCTATCACTTAGGTGTGAATGCATGCTTCAGGCTATCACTTAGCTCTGCCTTTGTCTTCTTTGATGTTTCCTATCTTTTCATCATTCCACTCTGCATTCAATAGGATTCCCTGTGATCTTGACCTGCTGTAATCTGTTCTTGATCTAAACACTGAAGTTTTACTAATTATATTTTACCTTTAAAAAATCCACTTGTTTTTAAAATCTGCAATATCACTTAAACTATTTTAAATTATGGTAAACATCATTCTGGCATCTGCATTGCAGCACAATGACTTCCTCAGTCCAGATGCAGAACACCAGTCTATACCATTTCCTCATGTTTACCTCAGGTAGCAGCCTTAACATGCAGCCATTTATGGGTCTGCTCTTAGAGTTTGGGCTCAAGTCACAGTGTGTAGATCGGGTCACAGTATATAGCCTTTTGATTCTGGCTCTTTTCACTTAGAAACTCATTTACACTGTTATTAGACACCGATAGTTTGTTCCTTTTTATTGCTGAGTAGTATTCCCTTATATAGATATATTTATTGATTGGTTGACTGGCCAAATGACTTTTAACAAACACGAATAAAGTCACTTTCAGTTTTTGTGTAAACCTAAGTTTTCATTGCACTTTGGTCAATATTTCAGTGTTTAACTTTGTAAGAAACTGCCAAAATGTCTCTCCTTTTAATTTTTTATTTATTTATTTACGTTTTGTTTTGGTTTTGTTTTTTTTGAGACAGGGTTTCTCTGTGTAGCTTTGGAGCCTGCCCTGGCACTCACTCTGTAGAGCAGGCTGGCCTCGAACTCACAGAGATCCACCTGCCTCTGCCTCCCAAGTGCTGGGATTAAAGGCGTGCGCCACCAACGCCCGGCTTTGTTATCTTAATAGTGTTTTTGCAGAGAAAAAGTTTCAAATTTTGATGAGGTTCCATTCATATAAGTTATCTTTTATGGATTAAGGTGTCGAATCTAAGAACTCTGGTGTAACTGTAGGTAAGAAATCTTTACTCTTCTCCTTGTAAAGGATTAGAGTCTTACATGTGTGTCTGTAGCATACTTTGAGTTGTTTTGGATCATCTGAGGTGCAGATCGATGATGCTTTTTGCTTTCTCTCTCTGTTTCTCTCCTTCCTGCTCCTCCCTCTCTTTCTCCTGTTATTCATTTTCTTCTGTCTTACATATATGAATGTTTTCCCTGCATGCATGTAAGTGCAGCATGCAGATCTCCTAGAACTGGAGTTATTGATGGTTGGGAGTCACCATGTAGCTTCTGGGAGTTGAACCCAGGTCCTCTACAAGAGCAAGTGCTTTTAACTGCTGAGCCATCTCTCCAGCCCCGCTTCTCTGGTTGGTTGGTTTGTTTGCTTGTTTGTTTGTTTGTTTGTTTGGATGGGGTCTTACTGAATCCCGAGCTGGCCTTGAACTTCCTATGTAGCTGAGGTGGACCTTCCATGTCTGAAATTCCAGTTTCTACCTCCCAAGAGCTCTACTCTAGGTAGGACAGTTTGACAGTCTTTCAAGAAGACAGTTTGCTTCTGCACAGACCCTGGGGTCATGTCTCATCTAGGAGCACTACTGACCCAAGTTCAAGGGTTGAGGTTTTCTGGGCTAACTGACCAAAGTTACAAATTTGCAGGAGGGCTGACTTATCTGTGGGTCACACCCACTCCATCTTTGCAGCTTACCAAAGGGAAGACAACTATTAGACCGATCTCCTCAGATCCTGTATCTTGCCTTCTAATTGCCCCCGCCCCCCCATATCCTACCCTACAAGAAAACGAGATTCAAAATTTCAGAGTAAAAGACCAAAGGAAAATGTTCTCACTTATCTTTCTGAGTTACCATTTTCTTTTCAACTCATATTCTCATCTAGAATTTTCAAAATTTAAGCAGGAAAGGTTGGTCTGTTTATAGTAAGTTCACTATTATTTGAAACAAAAAAATACAATACCTAGATACTCTCATTTTCTAGAATTGATTCCTCATGGGGACCTATGTAGGCCAAACTGGCATCTACTGAAGCTATTTTGGGGGAAATGAAATACTGTAACATTTTCTTATTTTAAAAAGCAGTAATTCAGTGTCCCCTGATAGAATGCAGTTTGAATGACCATTTTCCCCACTGAAGATTAATCTTAAAATACTCCCACCTCGTATTTGGATGTATTTGGTACCTACTGAAATATGAGCAGAAAAGTGGTCTTAATATAAACTGAACAACTCATCTTCCTATATGAAATAGAGTGTTCACTGGGATAAGTGTCTGGAGGTAGTAGCTGGCCGTTGAGTTTAATATCACTGGAAGTTATTTTTCCTGACCTAAGTCAAAGAAAATCGCTCCTGAGATTTTGAATTTAAACAAGAAAGGTTGGAGACCTTGCTAACAATATGAGGTGAGTGAAATGGCTGAAAATTCAGGAGAATGTGCACCGAGGGAGATCAGTGTCTTTTAATATTGATTTCACAACTGTATCAAGACATAAATAGCAATCCCATGACTAGATCAGAATGTGTTCTGAGGTGATGATTCACAGCCTGGAAGTTGGCTCGCAGCAGAAGCTAAGATAAGGCCTTGTAAAAGTCGTAAGAGAAGGGTCAAAGGCTCGTTGGGTGTAATTATTTTCTCTGGAGGATCAGCTCATCCTGTGCTTTACAAAACTTGCTATGCATAGCTTTGGAAAGTGTTGGGTGATAAATGAATCCATTTAGCCTTGACCTCTATATGTAGCTCAACCTGGCCTTGAGCTCATGATCCTCCTGCCTCTGACATCAAAAGGCAGGTGCTCCTGGGTTAGCCCCTGCTCCTTTGCTTTCAAGTCAAATACAGGGCCATGTTTACCTCCAGGAAAAGGAAAAGGACATTTAAAGCCCCAACTCTTTGGCAGAGCAGCAAGAGAGAAATGCTGCCAAATGGTGCTAAATGGTAAGGGTCCTGAAGTCAGTGTGGGGCTGGCAATGTCTGAGCACACCAGGGACTAAACATGCCTCTCCACACAGGAAGTCACAAAGCCCAGCTCCAAACAAACACACAAACACACAAACACAGCCTCTTCCCAGAGCAGGGGAAGCTGGGACCTCACCTGTGCCATCCTCCCCAAGGCCTTCAGCAGCTTCCCGAAGCTTGATGTCCATCACCCTTGTGGAAATCATGTCCAGTTCACTAAAACCAGATGGAAATCCGTGTTAGAGGAACATATGGAGCAGAGTCACCGATGAGTGCCACGGTGGTGGGGACCATGTGCGTCTGCCTGTCACCTCACCCACATATAACTCTGAAAAGTCAGGAGGGCCATGTCCACAGCCGCATGGGTAGCAACCACAGAAGCGTCTTTTTCATTACTGATGTCAGCAATTTCACAGAAAAAAATGTTAACGCAATGGCAGGTCAGAGACTTTCACAGTTCCCCTCAGATTGCAAGAAACTGTTTTTCCTCCAGCAAGTTTGGAAAATGTGGAGAATAAAAAACAAATCACCCATGATCCCACAAACTAAGGAAGATGATAACAAACATTTTAGTCTCTTTCCAACCTACCTTTATATATTTGTTACCCGTGCACACACATTAAGACACTTGACTTCTGATTTTTGTAGCATACTACTTGATTAAAATTCTTCCTAAGTATTATCTGAATGGCTACACACTATTTTAGTGTTATTATTTACATTGAGTCTTCTGGTTTTGAACTTGAGGAAAATTCCAAGCAAATACGGCGGTACGGTGAACTCCATACAAAATTACCCTCCTTCGTTGTACCCAACACCCATGTTTGCTAAGTCATTTCCAAGTAAATCATCCCAGTTACTATTGCCATTTCATCCATATTGATTCACCTTCTTCCTAAATGAAACTATCTGATTTACTCATCCACAATCCTGCTACAGAAATGGGTGCTACTTGTATTCCAGCCTCCCATACCCAACCGGAGACAGCACACTCCCCCTCTGTGTACAGCACGCTGTACCTGGAAAGCTATCCATACAGAAAAAGAGAGGTTCAAATGTTTGATTAACCAATTCACAGTTTGGCTTTTACATAAGGTAAGATGATGGGAGGAACAGAATGAACACATTTAATGGAAGAAAAGAAAGACACACTCTATCCTGCGCTGGAGATGGCACAAACATTTAGGTGGCTTTTATATAAATGTTAGAGTGCTTGGCCTCCCTCCAGACTGGTTCCTTTTTAACATTTTTCGTCATCATCACCATCGCCATCACCATCTCACTATGAAGCATTAGCTGGGCTGGAACTTACTATGTAGACCAGGCTAGCTTTGAACTCACAGAGAAACTGCTTACCTCTGCCTCCTTGTTTTAATTAGGATTCCTATTGCTGTGATAAAACACCATGACCAAAAGCAACTCGGATAGGAAAGGGCTGATTTCAGCTTACAGTTGTACAACACAGTCCATTACTGAGGAAGTCAGGATAGGAACTCAGGCAGGGCAGGAACCTGGAGGCAGGAGCTGAGACCATAGAGGATGCTGCTTACTGGTATGTTCCTCATGACTTGCTCAGCCTGCTTTCTTACAGAACCCAGGACCACCAGCCCAGGGATGGCACCACCCACAATGGGTTGGACCCTCCCATACCACCCATCAAACAAGAAAATGCCACAGGCTTTCTCACAGGACAATCTGGTAGACATATTTTCCTCAACTGAAGGTCCCTCTTCCAAAAATGACTCCAGTTTGTGTCAAATTTACATAGAGGTAGCCAGTACACACTTGGCTGCTAGGATTAAAGGCATATGCCTCCACACCTATTTTTTTAAAATTGTGTGTGTGTGTGTGTGTGTGTGTGTGTGTGTGTGTGTGTGTGTGAGAGAGAGAGC